ATATTAATAATAAGTATAACACTAAATATTCTTAGACTTCATCTAATTCGTAAAATTAGGATTATCATCAGTATTTGGAAAATCTTCAGAATTACGTAGATTCTCTGTATTTTCAGAATTCTGGATTAAGAGATCGTTATACTGCGTCATTCATGTGACTTCATTATGACTAGTCAATTGCTCCATTGACAATAGGATCTATATCAAGCATAGGATGTTTAATTTTTCCTATTCTCTTTTATTTTATATAAAAAAGCTTGAAGTTGATTTTTTTCTGCTTCGTATTTTTGTTTCATTCTTGGATCAACTAACTTTTAATTACATTTTTTATAATTACATGGTACTTTTAAGCATATTTAGTGCTACTGGTACTTTTGATTTCCTTTAATAGTAATTTTTTGATCACTCATTGTTCATTCAAATAAAATAGACAACCAGAAAATTAAATTTTTTTTTTAATTTATTAAAATATTAAAATTATTAAAATTATTGAATATTAATTTTATTAACAGATTTCATTGATATCAAAATTATACTAATTTTTATAAAAGTATCTGATCAAATGCCTTATGATTATTAATTGATTAATTAATTATATAAGGTTTATAAAAGCTTATTAATTTCTGATAGTCTGATTGAATAAGTATAAAAGAGTATAAAAAGGCTATCCATTTTCTATCTTTTAACTATTGATATTTTTTAATATTAATGACTCGTCACTTCAATAATCATATTCATTTTAAAAAGAGCAGCACTCATTTTCTTCATTCACATAGTCATTCTTATAGTTGCGATTGAAGAAGCAACACTTGTTTCCTTCATTTACATAGTTATTCTTATAATTATAGTTGAAGGAGTCATGACCGCTATTACTGATCTGATAGTTACTCCTGCAGCTGATCTCATTTCAGATGCTGGTAAGTATTATATTTATTATTACTGAAATTATCTGTTTAATTAATTATTATTTTCTTAGAATCTAAATATGGTAATAGTTATTTAGGATCAATTAATGAAAAGCATCTAGAATCAAAAATAAATAATTTATTGTTTTACTGTTTATGATATAATCAGCTTGCTTATCTATATTTTCTATTGAAATGATCTATCAAGCAGGCAATAAAAAAATATCTCATGATTTTTCATTCAGTTATATGAATTAGTTACTTACAAAGATTTCTAAAGACAAAGATAAAATGAAGGAATCAGAAAATACTCTTTTAGACTAACCTAAAATCAGGTAATGTGAAAACTATCAAAAGTAAAAAAAAGTAAAACATAAGTCAAGAAGACACAGATTTTGTAAGACTGTCTTCAGAACTCATATTCAGGCTTAGAAGATCAGGTTCTTTAAGTTACATCAGAGAATTGGGCTCTTCAAGTCAAATCAGAGGATTGAGTTCTCAAAGACGTGGCATTAGAAGATCAAATTCTCAAAAGTATGATATCTGAATATCAAGTTCCTCAAGGCATAATAGAAGAAGATCAAATTTTCAAAGATGTGACATCAGAAGATCAAGTTTCTTAAGATGCAGTAGAAGAAAATTGAGTTTCTCAAGGCGTAGCAGAAGAAGATTGAGAACTCTAAGATATATGCATATTAGCAAACTAGAAGAAGACTTTTAGAAAGGTTTGAGGGTAATAAATTTTAACATTTTTCTCAATAGTACACATATAATAGATTATATATACATTAATTGTATATTTTATATTTAACATCAAATATTTTAGATAGATGATAGGATACCACCTAACAATAAGTTAAATCTGAATGATACGTATACTAACCAATGACAGCTTGTAAATAAAATGGTAAAGACCATTTAAATGTGTTATACACTGAAATGTTTCTAGTATCTGAGAAAATCGTACGTGAGATGATCTATAACAGATACAAGCACCAGCGTAAGGAACATTTAAGAAAATGCAAACCAGTAACTATCTAAAAAAAATAAGCAAAAAATAAACACAGAAATAGTAGAAGAAATGACGTAAGTTATTTCCTTATTCTAGTTTTTTTATTCATTATTAATTATCATTATTCAATTATAGAAACGAACAAATAGAATAAGAATGATAAATTATCTGAAATTGATAAATGACCCTGTAATCAAATTATTTAAGATGTATAAATTTCAACTAATCATAACTCAATCAGTATACTATTCTCCTGAATTATCAAAATCTGATCAAAAAAATCCTATTGGACTAAGAACAATTGTAGTAAAAGACTTGAAATAGCATTTGAAGACTATAAGCTTGATGAATATTATGATTTCTTGCTATAAATTCTACTTATTTTCTTTTATTTATAGCTGCGATCATTTTTGTGTAATTATATAGACAGAATATTTGCTAAAATATAAAAGGTTCTTAAGAAATGAGTTTACATTTACAATACAGACAAAGTTTATGATAAAGAGAAATTAGCACTAACAAATGTCTTAAATTAGACGATTAATGACTACAAGAGTTTTTTAAAGACAGTTATCGAGAGTGCTTACAATAGCCACTTTTCTAATACACTTACTTTCACAATAATAGTCATGATAGTATATAACAATAAGATATTAATTATATTTGTAATATTGATAATAAAATAAAGTTTTTTCAAAATCACATTTTAAATATTATATTTAGTAATATACAATAAATTTCAGTCAGATTATTTTAATGTATTAAAATGCTATAATCAGTTATATTTAAATTTTCAAATTTATTACTAACTGGTAAGCTCTGTTGCAATTTATTTTATCATTTAAACATCCAACTGGTAAGTCCTTTTGTGATTTATTTTTTCATTTAAACATCTAACTAGTAAATTTTTTATCTAAAATATTCAACTAGCAAGTCTGATTGTGATTTATTTTTTCATCTGGAATATTTATGTATCAGACTATTGAACCTTAATCTATATCCTGATTTAGAACTGATTATATAACAAGTATAATACGAATTGCATCATTAATAGACCAAAACTAGTAATAATAAATATAACCCAATATTTCTTAATCAGCATTCTATCATTGCA